GAATCCAATACAAAGACTATGCCCTGAACTTTAGCTTTCGAATCAGCAAGCTATATTCAAGGACAAAGTGGAATGTTCCTGAAATAGTAGATTTTCAAAAAACGCGTAAGTGTGCTTACTTCGGTTAACCTGCATAGACGTCTGCTGCGTGGAGGTTGCCTCAAGAGCATTTCAGGTTCATCTCGATCATTCCAAACCAAAGATGAAATGTTCACACTAAGGGTAAACTGTTGGTACAAGATAACAGCCGAAAACAGCAAAGCATCTGAAAAGTTTCCTGTATGTAGTGAGTAGAAAATGCTAGACTAACTTTTGATCTCGAGAAGTAGAGGAACTAACTGTAAATGGCAGTCTTCCGTCACATGGACTTCTCCTTCTCCTTGTCTGTACCTCATATGAGGGCCTATCTAGGCATTGTCGTTTGTTAATCTGTGAAAAGTGAGAGAATAGAAATTTCTTCCATAGGAGTTAAATACCTACAAACGAATGATAACATTCAACTTCCTTCGACTTGCTAGTTCTTGTTTTTTTGAGAACTAGACTGTCCTACAGGTCACGATGTGAACTCAGTGGAAAAATTATTCTGTAAATCAAATGAGTGAATAACAATCAGTAGTAGGAAACCTACCATTCCATTTCATGTTCGCCAACTATATTTCGAAAGTCTCGAACATGCTGCTTGTGACGATGCGAGAGCACTAACGTCATTCGTAAAAACGGATATGCCCAGAAATATAAGGATCCTTACTCGAGACGACTGTCAGAAAACACATAATTTCTTCGCCCTGAACATCAGCCGACGTGTTCAGTCGAGGCATCATCGTGGCAATACCTATAATAACTGAATAAAAACAGGAAAAATTAAAAAACAAATGACAAAATAGAAATTTGCATAATCAAATTAGTTTCGAAAAGAGGTGTCATTAAAAAGTTNTCTTGACAGCAATGGAACCCCCGACCTTATCACACACTGACTCTTACTCGACTGATCGCATTCATCAGATTTTCCCGCTCATTCTACCAAATGGAGACTACAAAACCCAAACATCAAACAATATTTCAAAGATTTGCGGTAAAGTGCATTCTCAAAACAAAAAATTAAAACAATCTTGGAAGGATTTGTATTCTTTTTCAAACAACTTTTGAAGCTTTCTGTTATCATTGACACA